TTACACCAAAGTCTTACTAAGTGTGTTCCCATCCACTTAATTTTTATGTTTGTATAAATAAAATAAAATAAAAACACATGCAATATTTTTAAAAAAAATGTTATGCTTTACTTGGGTAGAAAACTTCCATAAAAGTAAAAAAATGTGACTAAGTGCTAAGTGATAGAAACAGACCTGATGAGTAAATCATGACACACATGATGCATGTGACTTAAACATCAGACTCTTTAAATTACATTATTGTCGTGCTCTCTTTGTCTGCAGTGGTTAAATGGCACTTAACTGTAGAATTAGTGCCGCCAGCTGTTTATCTTGACATTTGCATCCTCTAATCTTTTTTTATAACAGTAATGGCTGAAAATACTTTGCACTTTTTAAGGGATTTCTGGAAATTCGGTTCAAATTTGTGCTACATTTGGATGGAGACCTGTCTCACTGTTTGCCTGCCGTGCTATCTGACATCCTTTATCAGAATCAATGGTTTCACACTATAAACCTAATACTGAGAATAAGGGCAGGGCCTTTATTTGGACTTGCAGGAGCAATAACAGTGGTTGCAAAAATGCCGGTGCATTTTTCAGCTATTTTTCTTTTACCAAAACGGACAAACAGCTGAGGATCTGCAGTAGAAGAGATCCACATTCCCCTGCATCACTCTATCCAGAATTGCACCTGTGTTTCCAGTCTTGTGTACAAACACTTGTGTGTGCTGCCAAAGGTTTATACACATACATCCCTTTTTAACCCTAAACCAATACCAGGTTAGACCAGTGGCCGTACTGACCAATAACATCAGCAGCTGGTGTATCGGTAATATGAGGGCCCTCCATGTACTGATACAGCCTTCGTACAGTATCATGAACTTTCAAGGGCGTGCTTTATGTTTCCAAAGTGATGCACACCACTTCAGGGGACGGTCGACTCGACTCATGAGCCGAGCCATCCCAGGATTTCACCACTCGAGCTGCTGCTCCTGTGACAGCGCGTTAGGGGACTAACCAGGGAGGAGGCTACATCAGCCAAGTCATCTCTGAGCGTCACGAGAAAGTTATCCAAAACCACTGCGAGCGTTCTTTCCACTTGAGCTTTTTCCAATAACTGAAAAGCTCAAGTGCGGGGAAGGACGTGACAGAAATGCCCTTTTTTTTTTTCTTGCTATAGTGCGTGTGCAAACGCAACACTTCCCGCGGGTGGATTATTATGTGGTTATGAGATCCACAAGGGACAGTTGGTGTTTGTCCTGAAGGTAAATGAATCCATTTTTCCTCTCCAAAATTATAAATCAGACTCAGATCTTTAAGATGTGTCTTGACAGCTATTGGCTTGTCGCTGGACATCACATTAGCTCTGGCATTTCATATGCCTTTGGAATGTGCTGTGCTCTGAGGCAGCGACAGAGGTTTTCTCTGTGATCTTGAGCAGAATTAATAACCAGCAGCTCCACTTCCTCCTCACGCCGCCACCCTGTATCGGTGGGAAGGAGGGACCCCTGACCAGAATGTTCTCCAAGTTCATCCTGGGTCATTGTCAGCGTGTCATAACTCGAGGACATCACCTTGGCCTAGCTGTTAGAGTTTTGTAATTTTTTTTTTTTCATGGAAGTGGCAGCAGCATATTGCTGCAATATTGCTTTTGTTGTGAAAGGCCACTAGTGTCGCCCCCAGAAAACAATACTGGAGAAACAGCAGCAGAGGATTTTTACTCCCCTTTATACAACTGGAAAATTCCAGTACTGAGAGAGTGCAGAGGTTCTTCTTCCTCACTGCAGAGTAACAGCTTGTCACCATCAAGGAGCGAGCGGTCGGTCTTGCACGCCAGAAGCAGAAGTGATGAGGATTGGTGGGGTGGGGTGTGTTGACAAACACATCTTTAGATATCCAGTCCTTTAATGCAAAGTGATGTAAAAAAAAAAAAAAAAAAAAAAAAAACAAACAAACAAAAAAAAAAAAAGTCTCTAACCTTTTGCTGAAAGCCATCAAACGACTAATGGCTGTTTGCAATGCAAGTGTTTGGAGAGGTGTGAGCAGCAGAGTGAATTACAATGCTCCTCATTTAGCCGAGCACTTGAAGAAAATCATGTTGGAGAAGTATAATGAGTTCCTGCAAACAGCGGCTCAGATATCTGTGAGGCAAACATTTGAGCTGCGCTAAAACAACGACATAATGCATCACGACAGCTGCAAAACTACAGAAGAAACAAAAACAAAGAGAAACAAAGAATCCAGTGAAACAATTGGTTAACCATTTCCTCTTGTTGTGAGAACAACAGCCGGTCCTGTGACCACTGTCTTACAAGCAGTGCACTCCTGCAGTCACTCACCAAGGTGTGTGTGTTGAGAACATCTCTCGAATTCAGATGGAAGAGATGATGTGCAGTGACTTTCAAACTGCTGCCGTGTTGCTTAATTTGAGCTCACGCTGGATGGATTCAGGTTCAACAGTGTGAAAGCGAATATTTTAAGCTGATGAACCGGGCCCGGGTCTAGGCATGGGCACGGGGGGGGGGGGGGGGGGTAAATGCCTCACCAAATTCTCCGACAAAATCGTCAAATCGTCCCGCTTCATCCCAAAATTAAAAAAATAAGTATTTTATTTTATCCTTGTTGATTTGACCAATCATAAACATGCCACATTCAAATAATCAAAGATTATATAAATCCGATTTGTTGGTCTGACCATGTAAAAAATGGATACAGCAGGGAGAGCAGTTACTTCACTAACATTTCGATGCCAACCCCCGACCCAGTTCACAAGCAGTGCACCCCCAGTTTTAAAATCTAAAACTGACATTTATTACATTGTAGCATTGTAGACTACAAAAATATACTGGCTTCAGGCAGATTATTATTATTTTTAATATACCAGTCCATGTAAGAATAGATAATTAGCTAGATATAAATAAAGTTGGTTTTAGTTTTAGATAAATAAAACAGTGCATGTTATTGCTTACAGTCCTAAAGAACACTCATAAAGGACCCCAGTAATGAGTCTTGAAGTCTGGCATTTAGTGACCAGTCAATATCTCTCAATGTCATCTCAGTCAAAGCAGTCTAAAGCCAGGCCTGTGAAGAACCAAGAAAAAAATTTAAAAAAATAAATGAATTGTAACCAGGAGAATGTTGAATAACTTCTAACATGTCAGAGATTGAGACCAAATGAAATAGAGTACAAAATATATATGAAGAAATCCATACAAGTTGCCATGCTATCGCTTAATTCCTTAGTTATTACCAGATAAACAACACCGTCAGTGCCGGCGCACGCTCCATTACTAGTTGCAATGGGGCGAAACATGTCTGTAATATACACTGTGTAATCTGCGTAATTACAAAAATTAAGTGGTTAGATGATCGACTAATTTCATCATTTATCTTAGCTTTTTTTTTTCCTCCCCGCCCTCCACCTGATTCTGTTTCAGCTTGTGTCTGCCTGTTCAGACGAGCTGTATGCCTCCACTTCCGCGTCTCTCGCGTTGCTCGCATCAGAGCTGACATTAATGTGCATGTGTTTAGAGCACAGCCTGAGATTCTGCTGCCAGTTGTTTTCTGTTTTTTTTTTTTCTTTTTTCTTTTTCTTTTTTTTTTTTTGTGCTGTGCTGAAATTGTCTAAGGTATGACAATTTGTGCAGCTGTCTTCACTTCCTCGCTCACATCCACCTGAGAGGTAGATAAAGCGATGAGTGAAGACTTGTCAGCCTGTTTGATAACATTTAAATCAAAGTTCTGCTCAGGGCATACTCGTCTGAGCCCCGTGTTACAGAGATCTGCCTCACACTGACAACAATCTCAGCCTGTGCAGCAGAAAAAAGTTGAGCCGGGGTAATTTTCGAGCGAGATTCTGAAAGCTTTAGAAGTTGCTTAGCCTGGCAAAAACTCCACAGCATTTGTGTTATTAAGGCATCGCGGATTTACCTGTAGCCAAGTCGCAAAATAGCCTCTTTTTAAAGGTTAAGTCATAAAGTAGAGGTTTTCAACGGCGTGAACGCTTCGAGGCAAACCTGATTTTGTGGCATGACTGTGCCTCTGCCTCTCTTTCAGTGTGCAGATCAATTCAAGGCTTTTTGGTTCTTAAATAAGGAGGGGAATGTCAAAAACTCTTACTAATTTGCAACAACATCTCAACAAGCTGGAGTTGACCTGTGGGAAAGCGTTGACATTTAAAGGTCTTGAATTATTCACTTGTCATGATTTCTAATTTACTATTCTCGTGATGGAAATATGCTATGCGACAGCACAGAACCTGTTTGTTCCCCCTAGATATATTTTTTACTCTGTATAAAAGTATAACTGTATAGGCATTAAGGATACATTCAAGAAGTAAGCAAATGTCCAGTCACTCTACTGTATTATATTTTGGCTTTATTGAAAATGCATTGAACAGTATAATATTATGGCTTGTATTTGCTTCTGCATCCTTTTTCAGTATTTGCACCTTAGTGGCTCTACCTATCCCCAGTTATTCAATAAGCCTATTATGTGATTGAAGAAGAGGCTTTTTTTACATTAAATATCTGCAAATTCATATACAATACAATATGCCATAATAATTCCATATAATCCCTGACATGTTGTTCAGTAATTGAAATTTCAATGGTAGCAGATAATACACGACATAAAAATGACGAAAATGTGCAGGTAGGCAGGTTCAATTGAACATTTTTATTTGATTATTTCATCGTTAATTAACATTTTCATAATGAACACTTAGGAGAGTTTTGTGTTTTCATTTAATCTGTGGGAGACACTAGGGAAGTGAATCCACCTCTGCCTTCTGAGCTATCTAGAAGCACATGAGATTTCATCATCTGCTTAATTGCTTACCCTAATTTGCTTTACTGGCACTGTCACAGCCCCATTGTACTGTTATCAAATCACTGGGCACTGTAATTAACTTTACATTGTAACCACCACCTCTGTAACTGGCACAGAGCAGCCGTTAAATGCCTTTAACTTTATTGTCTTTGTTTTGTTTTGTTTCGTTTTTTTCTTCTTTCCTTGCAGAATGAGTACACGTGTCCACGCCCCCTACCTGGTGCCTGGCTTGGAGATGTGCCTACCATCCATTAACCCCCCACCAACAAAAGTAACTGCTTTGGATGGTTGCAGCAAACCACAGTGAAACAGGGATATACAGGAGAGGGACACGTGAAGAGAACCCATCAGGATCCTACTCCCATCACTCACATTCAAGAATACATTTCAAATGGTCCTCCACGCTAACAAGGACAGCCATGGACCAGGGCAAAGAGGAGATAATACTGTCTTTTTCTTTTTCTTAAGATTTTATAACATGTTTTTTTTGGGGTTTTTTTTGACCTGTGGTCACTGGTCATCAGCTTTGTTGCATTTCTTCACGCTTTCACTACACAAACACTGACGTCGATCATTGTGGAAATGCAGTCCTATGGTGAACGGCAGAGCACTGGAAGAAGACTCATGAGCACTGATGGATGGTTATAACCAACACGTGAGCTTACTGTATAGACTGCAATAGCTTATTGTCTCCATGAGGACAACGTGGCATTGTTTTAAAAACACAGGCAAACGACTGTACAAAATCCAAGAGGCTTTAAAAAAGTGTAAACTGAGCAATGAATCATTATTGAAAATGCACTGAAGAGGTAGCTCTGACCACTCTGCTAACACAGCTGTGTATAATTTAAAGTGGGTTTGCATACTTTGATTCCATATGAAGCATCATGTTTTCATCTTTCAATATTTTTTCTTTTCTTTTTTCTTTTTTTTTTAAGATAGACTAATCAAAGGATGATGTAAATGTGCCTCACTGGAGCGGAAAAATTATGAGATGAGTCACTGATTTTCTGTGCACCTGTCAGTAAAGAGGAATGAGGTGGAAATCAAGTCAGCAGCTGGAAGATTGTTTGAAGCGTGTGAAAAGTTGCCAGAGGAAAAGCAAACTATCCCCCAGCCAATGACTTTTGGTGAGTTTTTTTTTTTGTTTGTTTTTTTGGTTTGTTTGTTTGTTTGTTTGCTCTTTTTAAAAGTTTTTTCTAAGTTGTTTCTAATTGCAATCAAACGGCGGCGATCTAGTTTGATTTGGAGGACAGGAGAGGCAATCAAAAGCAAAAGAGGGAAAAAAGAAAAAAGCTCCTATCAAGGCTAAAATGTACTTTTCTGCAATTGTAATGTTGTTAATGTTGTACTTTATGAATATGTGTTCCTGCCATTTTCAACACCAAATACCAAAGAGCCAAATGAAGCATTTTTTTGGCGTTTGGCTCTCCCAACCATGGGTTATAAACTATCCAGGATTTGTCCCCTTAAAGGTACTATATGTAAGAATGTGGTGTAATTTACATGTGTTAATCACTTTTTTATTGCCAATGTGTGAACGGAGTATGGTGAACCTAAAAAATGAGACCCAAGATGTATTCACTCTCCTACAGCAGTGGTTCTCGAACCTTTTCACATCAAGGACCCCTGAACTGACACAAATTAGACCATGGACCCCACTCTGATAAGATTTTTGCTTTTAGATATTTTATCACAGAAAGTTTTTGAAATCCATGGAATTACAGTGGAAATAAATGATTCCCCTCTTTCTTGGGGACCCACAGGAAATGCCTCAAGGACCCCTGGGGGTCCACAGACCCCTCTTTGAGAACCACTGCCCTACAGCACCAACAGTGTGCAACACTAGCTAACATTAGCTTAGAAATGAAGTTAACAAACAACCGGCTCCCAGCACAAGACAAACAAAATAAATTTGACATTTTTCCAGTCTAAGGTTACTCATACCACTCCTATCACCCGTTTATACCTGATGGTTTAGTATTATCATCGCCTCAACCCACTGCCAGACCCATTCTGTACAGTAGCATTAGCCAAACTATGGTCTCACATAGCCAGACCTGCCCCCACACTTTGTTTTAGCACCATGTCAGCGCTGGAAAGTCAAATACAGTCTAAAGTATAGCTAATTTATAGTCAAACTATGGTTATATTCACTCTCATATAGGCTATGTCACGTCACTGTTTTGGTTGATTCCCTGAATGCTCACTGTACCTATGCTAACTCTAGTTCACTTAATGGCCACCATTATTATCATTATTAACAAGGGGTTTCCTGAATGTTACATATAGCACCTTTAAAAGAAATCCACGAAAAATCAAAAGAAGCCTCAACTCCTCTCACATCCAGCAGTGCTCTGTAAACCGAATCTGCTTTTTTTTCCCATGTGTGTAATGTGTACGTCTTTGTGAACCAATGTTGCAACGACAGTCTTGGTTAGGAAGCACTTGTCTGAAAGATAACTCTGAGCACTGCTTTACATTTTGTGACTTCTGTTTAACACATGCTTCACTTTCCTTAAAATAATCAGCCCGTCTCTCTCTCTTTCTCTCTCTCCTCTCGAGAAGAGATAGCAGATGTTGCTGTGTGTGATTCTGCGTGTGCTTGTGTTTCATCCATTATAAGTTTTTAATTATATTTGAGACGCATTTAGTTGTGAATTGTTTGTTTCAACCTGCAAACATAATCTTTCTACGCCAGAAAATGGTAATTTTCTATTGTAAATTTCTGCTTTCCCCCCTTCAATTTGTTGATATTTAGTAAGCAGCTGTATTCTTTGTTCACTTTCAACAGTATGTTTTATAATGAAAATAATGACTTTATTGTTGAGCAATATGAATTGGTCAAATTAAAATAATCATTAATCATTTTTTGTGTTCAGGCTGTACGTGTGTATGTGTGTGTACAAAGCATTTCCTGATTGTGTTAGTGCTGGCCACTGTAATTGAATAAGCTTGTACCCTGCTCATGTCTCCATTCATACCCGTTGAAATCCTGTCCTGCTCCCCGCAGATCTGCAGCGACGAGGCTGTCACATCAACATTAGCCTCATTAATTTAGAGAGCAGAACATTGATCTCTGTTCGACCGTTCTGTTCGCGGTGACGTTCACTGCGGGCCCCACCAGCCCTCTAATTACGCTTCTTGTGTAATGTGTTGCATATCTCAAGAGGGGGCCCTGCTTAGTGAATTTGCTGCACATTCACTGCACTTGGAACATGTCAAGCTGTCAGCTCAGAGGTCCAGATGGCCAATCTGCCCAATGCTCCCTGCGGTATTTTCACATATACATACTCTCTACCTATCTCCCCCTGCTACTACATCTCTCCCTTGCTCATCCTGCCTGCCTTCCTCTCTGTCGGGTGCCCAGATCTCACTCACTTTTGGTTTCTTCCCATTATTTGTGACGTTTTTTGGTCACTCGTCGCCATCTCTATTCCCTGCTTCCTCCCCACCTGTCTAAAAGGTTGCTTCACCAAAGTAATGAACAGAGATTTTTCCTTTTATCCCCAGTGGTCTCGGTCCATGCATATTGTTTCAGTTTTACTCTCATTTGCCAAATAGTAGACAGTTCCATGCACCAAAGTAGAGCTGCAACTAACAAATATTTCCATTATCAATGAATCTATTATTTTCTGTTAATAATTTAACACATGAGAAAACTGTAACTCCCAGTTTCTCAGAGTCCAAGGTCACATTTCCAGGTTGTTTTGTCTAATACTCAAAGATATTTCATTTGCAATTATATCAAACTTTTATGGCATTTTAGCTTGAAAAATTACGAAAGATTATTTTTCTGACCATCAAACATCAAACAACATAATTGTTGTATCTCTGCAGAAAAGATCCCCAGCTGGATAAACCAAGGACACTGTGATTATCTTGGCCGACCACTTGGCGCCTTAATCAACATAAATCAACAAATCAACATGACTTAATCATCAAAGTTGTTTATCAAGTACAAACTCCATTCAGTTACTGGTTCCAGTTTGAGTTGTGAACTGTTGGTTGCAAAAAAAACAAAAAAAAAAACAATACGACATCATCTTGGGCTCTGGGTGACTGTGAGGGTCCACTTTATAAAATGAATGTTAAATAAAAAAAAATATGAAAAAATAATTGATTTGATTAATCAAAAATGAAAATAATCATTAGTTGCAGCCTTAGTGGTTTTACATGAAAATATTTTTTGTAATTTGAACTGATCCTTTAAATATCCTGTCGTGCATATAGTACATCTCTGAGCTCTGTATCTGCTGTATTTTTCTGTCTCCCTCTGTGTCTGTCTTATCCACTGCTGCTCTCTATGATCTCCATAACTCAGTGTGCGTCTCTGGCGCTGCATGTCCAGTGGCAGCACAGACAGGGCTGTATGCCTGAGAGCAGACACCATGCATAATTCATGCAGCTTAGGCTCCCTGTTGACCCGCGTCCAAACAGTTGGCACTCTATAACACTTCCACAGAAAGGCCCCAGGAAGAAGATGTTAAACTATAAGCAAAACACACTGATGTAAGATTTATCAAGCCGCTCCCATGACATTGTAAACATCATAACTTTCAAACATCGTCTCTATCTGCCATCTCAGACTGGATGATAAAAGGCCAGTTTAAAGTCTCTGAAAACCTTTGAAGCAGAGATACGCACATGCAGGCCGAGCAAGACAGTGGATTACAATATAGAGACTTGAGAAAAGCTCAAATTCAGACAAAGATTTGATAAGAGAGAATTTCATTGCTTCATGGTGACTTGAGAGATGGTGAGATTTTGTTGCACATTACAGCGAAGCACACAATAAATGCAGCTGAGGAAAATTTCAAACCCGTAACAAAACAGAAGACAGTATACAGAAGAAACAACTTCCAGCAGACAGGAAATGCAAACATATTCAGCTCCCCTTCTGAGCCTTGATGTATAGTGTTAATCCATTAGGAGATTTTTCTGATTGGTAAAGGCGTAAAAGAAAAGAGCAAACAACCTGTTTGAATCTCATGTTCCTCCCCCTCCTCTCCCTCCTTCCTGTTCTCACTTCAAAGAAATGTGCCACTAATAACTTTGCCTAACCTTGCGGCGATTGATTCACCGACGAATCATTCTTTTATTTAAGGCTTGTTAATTGGATTTGACACTCTGATGTGAAGTTTCATTCAGGAGCCATTCAGCAATGCGTAAGAATGACTCCTAATCACTCATGACCTCATATAATCTCCAACTTGAAGCACAGCTCACTGGGTGGCTTTCAACTTTGATTAAGGCTTTTTGGAGCAAATTAGTCAGCGGCTGCTTAGGTGAAGTGACTTAGAAGGTAAAACACCGAACTCCTACTGTCGAAC